GCAAAGGCAAAGGCAAAAAAAGCCGACAACAGCAGTGAGGACAGCACTGATGAAGTGAGAAATTATGCCAGCGAGACATAAACCTGATAGATAGAAAGCTTCTATTGGATGCAAGATGGTACTAAGTTAGTTGCTGCCCAAGATATATGAGAATTGATGGGAGAATCAGTGGTCAGAATCCGGGCAGTCAAAGTGCCCCTGATTCTTGAGTGACTCTGCTGTCAGAATCAGTTGAGAATCAGCATCAGAATCGGTGCCAGAATCAGTCCCCTCTGACTGTTTTGACTTCCCCTAATATTGGTCAGTCCAATCCCGTGAGTCAGCCCCGGTGCCCATGATTCAGATGATTGCAGCCGTGCTAACCAACACATCTGAAAATTATATTTCATGCTCCAGCATGATATGTCTGTTGCCAGGCAATGGCCACTACCGTGATTGTCACTGTTGCTGAGAGAATGCCTAGCGTCCCAGATCACAGATTTCAGCCGAACTTTGTGGTGTTGGGGTATACAAGGATATATGAAAGCATCCCTGCAGTGTTGATGGCTCATTGGTACTCCATTTTTGTTTTAATTGAACACTCCCTGCAAATGCAATTTCTACAGAGGACAACCGTCAACTTTGCAATGGGCACCTCAATTCTATTTTGCGAATTCGGACATTGTACTCTGGGATTGACCATATAAGTGCCACTGGAAGGGACACCATTGAGATATGCTGTTTGTGCTGAAGTCCATCGCATTTCCTGTTCTGAGTTCAGATTCAACAGATCAGAACACCAGAAAAGAGAGGGCTCTCATCTGATCGCTTTCAGTATCCTTGAGGCTCGGAACGATACATCTCAGTACTTATTGTGCTTCAGAGTTCACATTCACTCATTCATCCTATTTGATTTGTTCAGTGCATCCCCAGTATGTACCTGCTCAGAAATGGATTAGGTCCGCCCATCTGTTTAGGCATCTTGGTACACTAGTGGAAATATCCGCGGAACGTTTGATGTCCACACAGATGTCAAAATATTTGAAGGTCCTGACAAGGTTGAGGTTCTATTTTATTGTCGGGGTCTTCTGTAAATGATTCATTAATATGTGAACAAATTCCATAGGTACGGACATACGACTGAACTATTCAAATATTGCAAGAGAGACTCCGAGTCGGCCAATTTCTGCACAGGATTTGAACTATTTCGAAGATTTAGGGTTCAGTAGTGGCAGATAGTTGGTTCCGACATTTGAGACAGTAGGCATTAGGAATAGTTGGCCAGGTGTATTGAATCTAGGCCTCGAGGTATTGACACGGCAGTGATGCGCACTGATGTGCATTGACACAGCTCTGGCGCGCACTGGCACGGTATCAGTGTGCATTGATGCGGCGCCTAACCCGGCATTACTTGATGCACAAGGTACTTTTTGAGTTGAAAAAGGTGGAAATTTGGCCATTACAGCCTCGTAATGGCTTGGAAGTTGATACAAGAGACACATTCGATGGAAGATGGAAGAAGCGGAATACATCCATTTAAACCGCCCAGGGAGCTGTAACCTTGGTACACAGAGTGCCTATTCGAGGCCTAGAGTCTATTATACATAGTTTTGAGGGGATTTAAACACATTTTGGGCCTTAGGAATCCTCATCATGTGTGCTCTAGGAAATATGACAATGCCGTGCCGATGCGTGCCAGTGCTGTGTCAATGCGTGTCAATGCGTGCCTGTCGCATCATTTTCTCTGGACTGTGTCGGGAATAGTTTGCTGTGGAGGGCTCTGAACGCAGTGCTTCCCACGAGTGGCCTTGCAGGCCTGGTGGGCCCCTCATTCTGCATACAAAGTTGATGACTATTGCACTCACATGCGTAACCTTGTTAACAAGTCGAGAACTGCTATTGCAACAGCAACCACCCTTGCCACAAAGTTCGTCAAGGACGCCAAAAGGGTCCCCAGGCCCATTGCAAATGATATTGCTCAAATCCCCGGGCCACATCTTGTGACCGTGTTCACCATGATCCTTAAGGCCGGCCTGCAGGGTTTCTGTCCTGATGTTGAAGGCCCAGTCCAGTCAGCATACAACCAGCTTCATCATCACTTGGCTGTGTCTGGCTTTCGATTTCTTGCCAGTTTATTTGCCCTCGCAGCGTTGGACGTCAATGTGCAGATTTCAAAGGACACAAGTCTCCTCAATAATATGTTTGATCACTATGTCTATGGAACTCTCGCACAGAGGACAAGGATGGAGACACGGCATCCTGGAAGCCTCAGCCAGTCCATACAGCACAGTGTCAAATACAAAGCTTGCACCCAGGTACGTCCTCTCTCTCCCTGTGTTTTACATCCACTTATTCATTCTCAGTTAGGTGAGAGTCAGTTCAAAACTGCGAGCAGAATCAAACTGCAGAAGTCGGTACTGTACATGGCCTTCATCAAAGAGCCTCATTCGGATGACGAGCATAGTGTTACCAGCTGTCTTGTCCATCAGATGCCTGGGCATAACCCTGTTGTGGCCAAGTTCTTTTGTAACGAATTTGATGTAGCTGCAGAGGAGTACCGGAAGTGCAACATCAAGCAGGGTCAAAGGTACATTCTGTCACGATCCAACCCTATCTAATCGCTCCAACACCCATCTAAGCACTGAAGCACGTGTATTTCGCACAGTTCACGAATGGAAAACACAAAGGAACCATGAGGTGATCGAGTGATCAGAGTATGATGAAGAACGTGCAGAACACGGATTGTTATTACTCAGAACACATGGTTTTGGCATGGGACACACACTTATTGTTCATGGACGATCTATTGTATATATTATTAGCCACAGATGAACAGTATAAGTAGTGTGGCTAGTTGCTTGTATTCTTTAGTCTTTTATTCAGTTATCTTTCAGTCTCACTCATAATCCTTGGTAGCATTGTGCTCCTTGGATGGCACTTGAGTCTGAACGTGACACAGTCAGCTGTAATTGCCTTGGATTACTAATGATTGCATTGTTTTCAGACCTCCTAAGCCTTTTACTCGCCCAAACCATCTCCTTCCCACCTCGGAGATTGGGATGATCCTCCCCCCTGATGTGTCCATCGATTTCTTCACTCCCGAGTATTACAATGCACTTACCATGAAGGAGCGTGCCAGAAATGCCAACACCGGTGTAGTGTTCCCTCTTGAGGACTTTGTTTTTGACCCTGTACATGAGGACTGGAGGACCATGGGCAAGCAGGAATTCATGGAGATGTATGGGAACCATGTTTTGGCTCAGTATGACGTCCTGTCTGCCGGAGAAATTGATGTGCTTTCTGACTCGGATGCTGACAACGAGGAGGAAGAGGAGATGGAGGTTGATGAAGACCTTAGACCTTAGTGGGTTTGTGTCTCCATTCTAGATTTTCATGGATGTCCATTCTGTGAGTTTGTTCAATAGAGTCTTTTGGTCATGTAAATGGGTCCAAAGCACACAAATGATTGGTATGGAGTTTGAGTATACCTTCCCTGCCTTTCTGTGTGCATGTGAGTTCCTCAAGTTGTTGTTAAGCTCCTGAATGGTTGCGCAATTCTCACTGACATGCCACAGGTAGTTTGGGGACAAGATATATTCAACAAACATAGGGTATACTACTACATGGGTAACACGGCATGGATAAGCATGAATCTCCCCCACTCACGCTGTGATTCGGACTGCGGTGCTACTGCTGGCAAGTCGGTTTGTTGCTTGGCAGACTCAGCAATTCGTCCTCTAGGGGGAAATTTGTATGCCTGAAGTCTCTCGAGGGCCGCAGAATTCGTGTTTTTAATTTGTGGTGGTGTACAACTACTCCGTCTCGCAACGGAGGTCTCCTAAGGTCGCTGATTCCTTCCCTGAGGGAGAGAATAGCCTTCCAGTAACACTACTATTCCGTTCTACACTCGGGAGCGAGAGAGGTCGGTCGCGATGTGATGCGGAAGGAAGCACTGCGCTAGTCTGGGGTATGTCGGTCCTGTTTTTATAGTCTCCGCCATCGTATAATCCGACTTCGGAGTGTTACCAAACACAATTGTAGGGCGGGTCCACTGCGATTGTCGATATTTCGCTCAATCCCTCTCTGCTTCGTTCCTTTCTTCTGCCTCTACGGAGAAATCCCTTTTTCTGCCAAAGAGTATAGCTCCTTTGAAAAGCTTCTTGAATGGTGTGCTGTCGTTCTCCTGCTCTACTGTAGGACCAGGTGTCCCGACGGGGTTTTAACGGCTACACGCAAATACGACGGAATCGTCCGTGGCGTCGTTTGTAGTGGGAGTTCTGCTCCGCTTGGGCCTATACGGCGACGGAGGAGGCAATTATCGAATAAGGATGGGGTATAAATGTCTCCGCTGCGAGGGAACGGCGGCGGAGTGAGGCGGAAGGGGAGAAAAGGAGTCCCCTTCGGTCTCAGTGACCTTAGGTTCTTTGCTTGACTGGTCCTTTTTGTTCTTAGGCGGTTTTAAATGCCTAGATTGCAAGGGGAGAACTAGATACCGTTACTACAGATGCTACTTCGTATTTATACCCCAGCAGAGCCCAATACACAGCCTTGCCAGGAGTAATGTTGAGCCTCCGCTGACTCCGTTGTGCATGAAACAGTTTAACGGAGCCGGCGGAACTGACTCTTTGGTTGGCAGCAGCCCTCGTGGTGGTAAATTGACACACCGTAACTGCGTCATGTTTCCGCCAGCGGAATTCCCTCTTTCCAAGGTGGAGCGCGAGCTCTCCTCGATGTTAATCTTCAGTTACCAGCCCGTTAAGGATATTATGGTTCATCTGTCAGTTATATCTCCCCGTTCGGGCAGTTTCCGCTTAGCGGAATCGCATTCCGTTGGGCCCGCCTTCCTTAAATAGTGGTAGGTTTGAGATTCCGTCGCCTTTAACCCCGTTTGACATTCATTTTTAGTGGATGGAATTCTTCAAGCCTCGAGGCAGCGTCGCGTTTAACTGCCTGGCATGTTGCCTTCCCGCAGTGTGATTTGTAACCTTATTGAAGAAGTCCTCCGCATCCTTTCCTGTATCGGTTCCGTAGCGTAAGGGTTAATGCGCCGCGAATGAATGCCTCTGTCGAGACCAAGGAATTCTGTGGAGACTCCGGGTTCGAGTCCTGGCGGGGCCGTCTGTCTTGAACGATTCGGTTTTTATTAAACCGGTGAGACTTGTTTTCCGCCGCAATTCCATGGTTATTTCTCGTTCAGTATCGGCGGATAGGACCTTTCAAGTGACGGAATGGTTTTCCAGGCGGCGGAAGTCGGCCTTATAGCGCTTCTTGTTGACGGAATGGGGTATTCGAGCAGCGGAAGCCATTCCTACAGGGTTTCCAAGCTTTTATTATTGACGGAATGTGTTCCGGACTGCGGAAATCGAGAGAACGCAATCTGGCGGAAGGGCTAAATTGGCGATGTAACGGTTTCCGTGCTTTTTATTGTTGACGGAGTCTTCCTCAAAACAACCTTTGTACCAACCCGCATATCGGTGCTGTAGCATAGGGTATTGCGCCGCGGTTTACTTGAGGCATAGTAGATTATTATCGTGGATGTCCCAGGTTCGACTCCCGGCGGCGCCATCTTTTTCTTTAATGTTCAGGACACGATTGATGTTGCAGGATGTCTCCGCTGCTCTGCCAGTCATTTCCGTCGCCGTGAGGGATATTACGAGTTTCCGGAGTCAGAGCGTGGAGCCGGCTCACATCTCCTTCCCACTTTTAAATGCCGATCGTCCCTGGTCGGCGACACATATAAGATGGACTTTCCTTCTTCCCTGATTTTCAAATTCCTCAACCATGGATGTGTCCACGATTGGTCGCTTTTATGGGTCCATCGTTCGGTTTCCGGAAGGTTTCGCTGTTCCGCCTGGCGGACTCGCCCGTTTTCTTCGAGAAGACCTTCGTGCCAAAGTGTTTCTTGTTTCATCCGGTGTTTTCGACGATCGTTGGGCCACCCATACTCGCGAGACGTTGACGGCCGACGAGCTTTTTAACATAGGGGGTTTATGCGAGTAGTTGTGGACCATGTGGTGCGCCGTTTTCCCCTCTCCCGCTATTCTTCCGCTGAAATTCCCGTTCCTTGTTAATCAGTATTACGCGGCCTCCGTCTGCCAGAACGAGCTTCGCGGTTTATTCAGTCGGTATAACATGCCGACGGAAGCCTCCTGGATGCTATATCTGATACAGGTTCTTTTGTACGCCGTTGGTTTCGAGGGGGATAACGGTCCCGTCGAACGGGGAGTGGGCCCCCTTCAAATGGCGCTGGCACAGACAGAATTTCTGTTGCTGAAGTGCTCGGAATCTTTCATGATTCAGCGCAGCATGGACAAGACAGGCTTCCTTGACTACGAAGAGTATGATCTGCACCGGACCGTTGAGATGTACTTCGTGTCGCGTTGGGCACTGGAGTTGTATGAAAAGGTACCCGTCGGAGCGGCCAGCACCCCAGAGTTCAACATCGGCAAGCGCCTCGAGTATTGGACAGAGGCGGAAAGGGTGGTAGAGGCCATACTCGTCGCCCTGTCGTGATGCAACATTCCCATCCGCGTTCAAACGTATCAGGATGGCGAGGTCATTTCAATCTGTCAGGACAGTATTGACGGCGTCATAGCGGATATGGTAGCCTCGACATCCCCGTCCGCCTCCCGTTCTGACAAGTCGCAAGGAATCTGGGAATACGTCCCTTCCATCCAAGGGTCTGAGCATCCTATGCGCTCAGTTGCGGGGTCCGGTTATGCGCTCGTGGAAGAATGGACTGCCGGTGTAAAGTTGACGGAGACGTAATGATTCCGTCGGAGTATTCCGTCTCGTAGATCAGTCTGTCTTGTATAAAAGGAGGCCCCTGTTGTTGTTCCGCAGAAAACCAATGCCTCGTCCTGACACCCCTCAGGCCTTGAACGCTACTTCATACTCGATCGTGGAGTGTTTTTCCATCATCGGATGGCAAGCCCACCGACTGCAGGTCCGAGGATATGGTCCCCTCCATGTCGTCATGGGGCACTTCGTTCGTCCCGCAATATTCCTATTAGAGCGCACCACCGAAGGTCTTCAAACCGCCGATTGGCGCTATCGCCTTTCGGAATCTGAACTCCGTGTTCTGCACGTGTGCATAGACCTGGTCGTTAAAGTCGTGGTGAAGAAATTTCAGGTTCCGTTCGTCCGCTCGTTTATCGGAGTCCCGCAGACTCTCGTTATCGTCAGAGCTGACCGCTTCCCAAGCGCGGATGAAATTACGCGCGGCGTGTGCTTGGACGAGTCAACGGCATCCCTTCGCGGAAAGGATCTTTCAGGGCTTCTTCGCCTTCACGTACTGCTCCTCTCTTTCTTCGCGGATGGCATTCCGCCCGTTCCTCCCGCGGACCTAGATTTGTGGCTGTCGCGTGGTCTGATAATTGCGCATTCTTGGGAACTGGTAGAACATATTTCGGATTATGCAGTATTCCACGGCGATTCCGCTGATGCTCTGTTGATTGGTGTAGAGTAATTTGATCCGTCATCAATTTTGGCCGTATTTGTCCAAGTTCGATATTCCGTCGCCTTCTTTCCCTGTATAAAGAGCGTGTTGTAGGTTTTCTAGGTTGCCGTCGCAAAGTTTTCCTTTCCAGGCTGGTTTCCCGCTTCCCTGTGTCATGACCAGCGAGTCCGAAGAATTTGAGGGCACCCCTCTTAGGGCCCCCCTGCGGCATTCCGTCGCATTCCCTTCCGCCTATCGGTTTTCGGAAACCTGTATGCTGCTCGAAGAACTCCAGATTTCCGATGCGGACTACGCCTTGCACGAGGCATGGCAACCACCTATTCCCGTTAGTGACATTGTGTGTCGCATTCTCCGCCCTTCCGTCTTCCTCCTCCAACGGGCCGTCAACCCGAACTTCAGGGATACCATTGGCTTTTATCACCTGCTGGCGGACGTTTACGATCGTTTCCAGCAATGCATACGCAAGACCTTGGAGTTGATGGTAAGTTTCTTCCACCATACCGTCCCGCCAAATTTCTTGTCGAATTGACTCCGTCTTGTGCCCCCAGCACCTCATCTCGTTGACCTCTCCCATTTATCCCTCCTACGTCGAGATCTGGGACGGAGTGTCCCATATTCTCCCCGACGAGGCCCCTGTTTCCGATCGATCAGCAGCATTATTTGATTTCATGGACGAGATCGTCAATGCATATGGTTATGCCGGATGCTATGATCCCGTCGCCTACGAGCTGGAAGCAGCGCTCCGTCACCTAAGGCGGGTGTCTCGGTGCTGGGCGTATTTGTTGGGTACCCGGGGGGAATATCCAGAATATTTGCGCAGCGGGCGCATGATCCGTTCTCTGCCAGCGATCGGGTGGTGATCACTCCGTCGTAGCCTAGATAGGGCTTCTTGAAATTCGAAATTTCGGTCCTCGTGCTTTTCCGCCGGATCTGAGCTCTCTTCATCTGATAAATGGTAGCACTGGCACTCCGTTTCTTCCTCCGTCATATCCATGAGCTTCGAACAGTGCCCCGAGGCCACGGAAGGGACCCTGTTCCTCCGTCTTCTCACCAGCATCCGTCCGTTCCTTCCCTCCCCAGCGGATTTGGAGCTAGGAACCGCATGGAAGCCGCCCGGCGGGATGGCCGGCTACCTACAGCGAAGGTTCCGTCCCGCTGTATTATTCCTCCAAGAGACTGTCGACCCTAAATTCCGTCTAAATCCGCCATTTATGTCTATGACGCCCGATGATCTTGAAGGCGTTCGTTTGGTCAACCACGTTGATAAGCATGAAAAATGGCCAAGCCTGAAATTTACCAATTTCTGCGTCCTTGTTCCACTTACTAAAGTGGAACCAGAACTTATCTATATCTTGCCCATAAAGAGCCATAGAGAGGTCCGATCTGTTGGCTAAAGGCACTACGCCTCTAGTTACATAGTAAAGACTTGTCAGGTCACCAATACCACGAGGGTCAACGGCCTGGGGAGCTGCTGTGTATTTACGCGTAATTCAAAGTCCAACCATTCGATCGAATTGGGACAGAGATAAAGTGTTATACCAAGGACATACACACACCATCCATTCTGACTACAAATTACACCTGAGAAAGTACACTACTGGAGCTGGGCATCAACGAACAAAGGAACCTTTGCTGAAAGTGGAACACGGCCCGAACAGTCCGGCAGTAGCCGATGGATCAATCCACGGCATGTTTGATATTCAACGCTTAGACCGAGGTCTGGATTGGGTAGCGCAGTTGTTGCCTAGGGAAGATTGATCCACTAGCTCCATCATTCATGTGCTGGAGTAGTTTATCCGTTTTCCCGCACCACAAGTCATACTATATGACCATTTAACCGTGATTCTGCAGAGAGGGCTAGACACGGGTAAAATCCACATCATAATATGATGCCATCTCTGGGATTAGAATCAAATCAGAACATATGTCTCGGAACAAAGTATCTATTTAACCGTTTATTTATCCGTTTGTATTCATTGCGTGCTCATTGTTAATTATTCATGTACTATTTATATTTTATTAGTCCTGCATGTTGTGTCACTCGTTTGTATAAATACAGACAGGTTCAGAGAGGGAAGGCAGTGAATTCACCCCTTCTTGCTAGACGTATTCAGCTCTGCTGGTATTGTCGCTTGGGAAGCCTTGTATTCATTCGGAGTACCTCTTGGAACTTGTAAAGTTCTTTTAGTTATTTCGGTCAATATATTGTTGGTTGTTGGATCACATCTCGCGCTAGGATCTTAAGGAAACAGAACACGGAACAGACTCATAAGGGTTTCATAAGGGTTTCACAAGGGTTTCATAAGGATTTAGGCAAACGGACTTGATAGAACAAGGAACAGAATCATAAGGGACCGAGAACACTGAAAGGATAACAACGTCTAAGGACTAATCCACCCACCCCACGAGATAAAACACCTCTTGGCACCTTCTAGACCTCATCTGAGTCACTAGATCGGCTAATTGAATCAAATCAGTATTTACGTGTAAATAGCTATTACTTATATCTAGCACAACCAGAGACCTAATACTTGGTCCGATCCCCGTACTCGCACCGTTTACTGTTTGGATTTGTGTTCAGTGTTGGTTTTGTGTTATTAGTGCTCTAAGCGCTGATTTACATTTTACTACATTTCACGCTTGTTCAGATAGTCAGCGT